ACATCCTCTCAGAGACCATGCGTTGGTGCTACATACTTTTGGTGTAGGAAACAACGCCAAATGGCTGTAATAGTGGCTGTTTTCGTCACTTCCTGAGATGGGTGCTTATACAAGCTGTGTAAGAAAGGGAAGAGGGATTCCATGACATAGCACAGGAGACATTCGTCGACATTCGAGCCACAAGCGTACCTCGCGAGAATGTCTACGGAGGTGAAGACGAGATCGACTCTCCTCTGCGAGTTACCATACAACTTTGGCCGTCCACGAAACACACCACAAGAGTCGCTTCTGCGCGAATACTTCGTACGCAATCTCTACTCATATACTCTCGGGCTGAGTGGATATGTGAGCGGTTATCTTCTGCAGAGTCCTCGGATTCAGGCGGACAGACACTGCTCCAGCCGACACTTTGGATTCTTCCGAGCCCCAAGAGTGATCAGGTGCCCACAACAACGCATTTGATGGATTTGACACAGCTTGCGCAACGTCTGCGCGCCCAACGAGCACAAAAAATCTAGATTGTGCTGTCGTGGGTCGCATCACGATAGCCGCGCTGCAATTCCAGAATCTTACGATCACGTCGCCCACCCTGGTTTCAGGCGGGACAAGGCCCATGAGAAATGCTGTCCCAAGGCAGATCCGTGGGACCTTGTCGCTTGCAGTCGTAGCGACTTCTTGAGTTGCACGTTCCTCGGTCCGGTCGCCGTTACAGCCGGTAGTGCTGCTATCCTGGTCCAGTATCATGGGGTGTGCCAGAACATATCGGTCATTGATATAACGAATGCGATCCAGGTCTTCTTGTTCGTATCCCAATATCCTCGCTGTATACTCTTCGTTCATCCACCTCCATGTCTCCAGGCTTTGTCGATCGTATTGATCAACCCAGTAGCTAGTCCAGTGTTGGGCTGTCGAAGACGATCCAACCAGAGATATGTAATCCGGACCGAGGTGCTCGATCTCTCCCGCTATATATCCTATAGCTTCGATAGTCGAACTTCCCTCTGCGCACTAAGCAATGTTAGCAGGCGCCGGTTTCACATCCATTCTCTGCTGAACCTACCAATATATCGCCGTCGCTCGCCAACCCATCAACATTTTGGCCCAGCGCGCCTTGGACGATCCCTGCCGTCCGTACAACGCTGAGCTGCCTCTCGAGGTCCGAGCGTGATAATGTTACGTTTTCAATACCACTGAGGATTTTCACGATATCTTCCTGGAGGTCGGCGTTGTGTTCGAACGTCTTAGCCCGAAAGTAGACGAAACTGACCACATCAGTCCAGATTTTGTAGAACGAGCTCTTGTAATCAACTCTCAGGAACCCAATGCCTCGTCTGGACTCAGATGATGTCTGCGGGTCTGATTTGACCAACTCCATCTCGGCCGTCGGGGTATCTGCTCTTTTGTCACGACCCGCAAATGGTTGAATGTCGTTCGCGCATCCAAGCAGGCCGTACACCCTGTCTCTCAGCTCGGAGCAGTCGCTTTTTGCAAATCTTTCGACAAGACTTTCGAATCTCATCATGTCGGTGTGTCGCAGCTGTCTAATCTCCAGTAGTCTCGACGCAGCTCCAGGGGCATCTGGAGAAAAGGGCAAGGACTGCCTCAATGCCCATGTCTTGAAATCCTGATACGTCCAGATGTCGGATCCATACACGAATACCAGCACGCGTGGAAGACACATCTCCTGTACGATCCATACACGTCTCCAATACGTGCTTTCCAAGATGCGTACGAGTGTGCCTTGATCTGGCTTCGGCGAGTATCGCATCTGGTTCACACCAGCAAGAGAGGCGCCAAAATGATGCGTCTGTCCTGCCTTCCATTCAAGTGACATGGAACGAAATAAACCAGTCATAGGCGGGTAGTCCTTCGTTCCCAGCCATGCCACGACCTTCGTCGCTCGTGTATATATAAAAGACATCAACGAGACTTGATGGTTGCGCTCTTCCGTGTCCGCCTGGTTGATGCAAATTGCATCGATCCAAATGTTGATGGCATGCGATGGGGAACGAAGGTGTAGCAGCGCGAGCTGCAGGTTGTGGCCAATGCTGAAAGGACCTCCGTTGAGCACAATCTCATTGGGCTCAATCGGAGTAGGTGACAGCGTCGGGGCGCCCAACCTAAACAGTTTGTCGGTCATGTGTGGCTGAATTGATTTTGATGCGGCTTCTTCTGGTCCTGTAGACGCTCTATTCCTTGCCCGCACCGGTGATGGGCTGGGAGATCGAATCGGAGACCTGGAATCGTTGGGAGAGACTGGAAGATTGGCGTTTTCCGGGTACGAGTTTCGCCATGTATAGGAAAGCGCCACGTATTTTGGTCTGTCGCTGAACGATCTTGAGCTAAGTGTTGCCACGATGGGACTCATGAAATCTCCAGCCTCGATCTTCAGAATGCGAATCGCGTCTACGCCAACTGGAAGAGCAGGGTACACAAACGACATGATGTTGAATGCGGGAGTCTAGGCCAGGCGCAATACAACCACGGATGTATCTATGTGAACGGCTATGAGCGCTGATGGAGAACAACAATGTGACTTTAGGGGCGCAGGCTCACGCGCTTTGCTACGTCGCGATTGAGGTGGGGTAAGGCTGTGCGCTCGGTCGGCCATCCACGTGCTGCCCAATAGCAGGTTCGTTGCGCAGTGACGCACGAACGCCGCAGTGTAAACGTGGGGGCAGTCACCATACTCGATAAGAGGAACACGCATCATACAGGGATGGCATCATGCATCACTTTCCAAGGAACGAGGTGTGCCCTTACGAGGAAGAGACTCTGTCTGAAAAAGCCACCAGCAAAGAGGAACACAGGAAGTGCATTGCTAGCTGCTTTCTGTTCATCGAGCACTCCTCAACATCGCGTGTGTTAATACAGCTCTACATGCACGCCATCCATCGGATATACGCCTATAGTGTACGTCTGCCTTTCCGCCCCGACTGGCTCGTTCGAAACCCCAGAGGCAATCCGAATGTTTGGAAAGTTCTGGAGGATTCTGATCACTGCATAGCTGGCTTCCATCACTGCGTAATCCTCTGTTCAGTATCAGTATTTGCAACTCGAAACTGCAGCGTTGTTCACTTACTTCCTAGGCAAAGTCTTGGGCCGCCATTGAAGTCGACGTATCCAGCGCCTGGGCGAGCCTTCTTGATCAACTCGCCACTCTCCCACCTTTCCGGTCGAAACACTCTTGCGTCTTGACCATAGATAGACTCAAGGCGGTGTAGGTGGTATACCGACCAGACGATTCCGGCGCCCTTAGGCATGAGGACGGGGGAGGTGCCATCCGGGCCTCCACCTCGGGGTAACACGGTAGCTTTGTTCGTAAAGCGGAGGTTCAGCGGCAATGTTGGGTACAATCGCAAGACTAGTTTCGTTAGTATGTGTTCAGCATTCAATAAGTTAACAGCACTAACTTTCATTGAAACAGCATCGGAGGAAGGGCAGTTTCTGAATCTGCTCACGTGTGACGTGTCCTTCGCTCGCAACGACGGAGATCTCTCTCTGCAGCCTTTCTAGAATGTCACGGTTTCGAACAAGATGGAAACTGATGATAGTTAGTCGAAGAGACTGAACATCCGAGACAACACCTACAAAGTCCAGCACAGCAAGCTAGCAGTAGAGTCCCTTCCAGCGACTAGGATATGGAGCAATTGATCGCGAACCAAGTCGAAATCTCGCATCTCCTTCCAAAGCTCAATGATAAAGGGATACTTCTCCGCCGCGGCTTCTTCACCATGTTCGTCCTTGTAGCTCATAGCCTTCGAGGCGAAGAAAGTTGCCCAATCACGTACAGCCTTGCAGGCCTTCCTAAACTTTGGCGGGTTGTAGAGGAAAGCAGCGTCGGCAAGCCTCACACGGATTCCGCACCCAAAGGAAGCTTTGTCAAAATTGTCCCGGACAGCGTCACCGGCCTCTTTCGGCATGCTACTGTGGGGTTCGCCGAAAAGGAGTGCTGTGGTGGTATTGAGGGTGTATTCGAACATGAGTGGTCTCAGATCTACGCGACCGTCAACAGCGGCCTCTGAGATGCCAGACAACAAGCCCTCTACGTGCGAAGTGAAAGCTTGAAGTGTCTGCTTCTGAACTCGCACGAACTGATGTCTAATCAGCTCGCGAGATCGTTTCCAGGCAGGTCCATCTTGCGAGAAGATGCCTTCACCAAGCAACGGATGGCTTGCTAGGCGGCGGCTTCCGAGACACCAGTCCTCGAACTTAGTCGACAGTATGGCTTCCACATTTTCCGGATCAGTCGTGAAGTATCCGGTTACGCCGAATGTGTGGATGCAGCAGGTCTTCGCGATACCGAAGTAGGGGGTAAGACCCTCGAGCGTGTGATCGCTGAACAAGATTTCGTAGTTCTTCTTAAGAAGATCTAGGGCTAGCGGCCATCGGTATGGTATGTATGGCTGAACGGGCTTACAGCCGTGTTGTTCTGCGATCGCGATTTCCAGCTACAGCTCAATAATGGCTTTTGTCAGTCAACTCCACAGATTGACATCGACCAAGGCCGGCTTACCTGCTTACGACCCTTCCGTTTGGAGTAGAAGTATCCACATAACGCTACCACAAGAGTTATCTCAAGCACGATCACTGATAAATGGCCAGCTGAGGCTGGGGTTTGTGGAGTGTGCATGCTTGTTAACAACGACGACAACGGCTGTAGAGAGACGGGCAGAATGGATCTGATTGCAAGAACAGGCTATCAGGCTCCTGTTTTACCGCAGTCCGGCCCGGCGACAGAACCTTGGAAGCCGTAAATGTGCCTGATCCAGCCTCACACATCAATGTAACCGAGCACAACATGATGATCCAATGAGACAACGAGGATAGGCGCCGTCTTTGTACTCAGCCAATCAACCTGCAACGTTCAGCGCATCCTTCCGCGGACCTCTCGGTGCCTTTTGCCTTTTTCGCACTTCCCGAGCCTTAACGGGATGTGAAGGAAGTGGCGGCACGCACTTGATCCGTGCCCAGGTGGGGGCCAGAGAACACTATCAGCCATGATATACCGTCTGCCGCCGGGGGGAAGTGCGGCACGTCCCACCCGCACCGATGTATCCATCATTCTCCACTTAGTTCACGGCCTGACGATGTTGGGTTTATTCGACAACCTCGGCGCTGGCATATTGCTGAAAAGCCTCCAGCCCACTCGGGGTGTACTCGAGGAACTGAACGTATCGGGCTCGGAGCCTGAAGTCGCCAGCCTCGTAGAGCTCATTAGCGATCTCACGGACATCGCTCAGTCGTTTGACAAACTCGCGACCAAAGAACGACGGCATCCTTCGATACATCTCAAGATCCAGTCGCAGAATGCGTCCAGCTTGCTTCACCTTCGCGCTATCCTCGATAGCACAGCAGCTATCATAGACGAATGTACACCCTTTATACGGCCACTCCAGCCAAGCCTCGAAGCCCTGAATCATGAGCGCCATATCACTGGCTATATTGAGGCTGAGAATCGTCTCGAATACCAAGCCTGGTACGCTGAGACGTATCAATCTCTGAACCTTTTCACGGAAATCTTGCGTGCATTGTTCACCGCCATCAATTTGTTACAGTATCAGAACGACACCGATGACGATATACAGTCGCTTAAGGAGCGATCGGTCACAGCAACTCAGCTGCACTACGAGATTACCCTAGTCGAGCAGAAGCTACACATCAGCGATCAACATGATACAGGCGCAGTAAGACCAAAACTAGCTGATTGATGCATGGGTATCAGCTAAATCATCACTACAGGTACGCGAAGCCTTAAGGGCGGCCAAAGCGGTCACAGTACACATCCCCCCTACACCAAATCAGCACTTCGTCATACAGAGACAAGTAAGAACATATTATACGGGAAGAGAAGGGCAATTAGCCAAGATAGAAGCTGCATTTCGCGATCCGACGTTACCCAAGCAACAGATCTTCGTCATTTACGGACTGAGTGGGTCTGGAAAGACAGAGCTGGCTTTGAGGTTTGCCGAAGAGCATAGAAACAAGTTCTGGGGAGTGTTCTACGTAGATGGCTCGTCGGAGAAGCATGCAGCTACCAGTTACTCGACGATTGCAACAATAGGCGGCGTCGCACCGAATGAAAAGGCTGCGAAAAACTGGTTGGTGACACGCGCTCTACCATGGCTCCTTATCATCGACAATGTAGACGAGGAAAAGATCAAAGTCAACGAGCTGCTTCCCCAGGGTGCAAAAGGCTGTTGTATAATCACGACGCGTAATCCAGCTCACGTCACCCACGGTAATGCCGGAGACAGGTACCTGGAATTGCTGCCCATGGAGCCTGAAGAAGCAGAGAACCTCATCATCAAAGCCGCCGAAGAGCCGTTACCATGGCCTGTCAGAGTGATTGACTGTGCTAGACAGATATGCTCTGCTCTGGGGTTCTTACCGCTTGCTCTGGATCAAGCAGCTAGGGCTATACGATATGGCATCTGCGAATGGGCTGAGTACTTGGGATACTTTGACCGTCAAATACGAAGAATTCGACGAAACCTTCATGGCCGGGCAAGAAGCGGTTCTCGAGATCGTGATAAGACCCAAGAAGATGCGCATAGTATCAACGTCTTCTCTACGTATGAGATTCTTTACGAATCGCTACAGTCGTCACCAAAAGAGAGTTACAAGGACGCTATCGAGCTTCTACACGTTTTCTCCTACTTTCATTTCCAGAATATCCGACTCGATGTCCTCATCAGATCGGCAACAAATCCCCTGATCGAAGAGGAACAACAGAGGCAAGACGACAAGAAGATGGAAGAAGTGTTGAAGAAGCTACAAAAGCCACCAAAGAAACCGTGGATCATGTTCTTCCGAGAGCTGAGAGCCTTCGCCAAAATGCAAGTGGCTACACCCATGCCTCTTCCAGCTGTGCTCAAAAATCGAGACAGACTCGGCCTCAGCGCTTTGGAAGACGAAGTGGAAGTGCGGCTTCGCCAAGCACTAGGCGTACTCATCGAGAGATCACTAGTCATGCGGCAAGACAGAACAAACAGCCAGTTCAGCATGCATCGGCTGGTTCACAAGTGGGTTAGGGAGCGACCAGAGATGTCCACTTCGCACCAAGCACTGTGGTGTCAGATTTCCTTAACTACTCTCGCATTTAGCGTCTGCCGGCCCCCAAACGGCGATACAGAAGAGGAAAGTCGTGCGAGACGCGAGCTTTTGCCACATGTCCAGCACGTCTGTGAGCATCAAAAAGACATAGAAATTCGATTGGGGGAGAACGCGGCCGGAGTGAGACGCGTTTGGCCAGTGACCAAAAGCTACGGGAGACTTGAGGCCGAGCAAGACGTCCGCTTTGGCCGTGTCTATGGAGAAACAGGACATTTCGATAAGGCCAGACAACTCCAAGAGAGAGCGTCAGAGTTTGTCGCAAGCAGGCTTGGTCCCGATCACCCTATAGCGGTAGGGCTGTCGCTCTTGGTGAGCCAGTCGTTGTGGGAAATGTCTGAGATGGACCGAGCGACAAAGCGTCAACGGCAAGCGCGTCAGCTTTGTATTGACACATGGGGCGAGGATCATCCTTTAACACTGGACATCACGGATCTTCTAGGATCAGCTCTCTACTTCAAAGGCAGGTGGACGGAAGCACAATCTCTGCACGTTCGCACGACGGAGATGATGACGAGACTCTACGGAGAGAAGCACGAGAAGACTCTCAAGTCAATTCGTAACACAGCCCGACTACATTACCGTTGGATGGATTACGAGAAGGCTACTGAACTCTTTCTCATGTCCTGGAATGGGATGAAAGAGCTTCGAGGCGAGACACATTTGGAGACTTTGTTCAGTCTCGAAGATCTAGCCATGAGCTATGTTCGATATGAAGAAGAAAACCCAGATCCAAGGCGAGAAACACACATAGCATTGGCCTACAAGTACATGACGATCGTATATGAAACAAGGAAACAACAGCTTGGACCGGAACATCACTGGACACTTCTCGCCGTACTTTACCTCGCTCGCGCTAAGTCAGAGATGGGTTTCCATCAAGAGGCGGAGACTATGATCAGGAACGGCCTCGAAACCGCTGAACGCAACATCCCCAAGGGGCACATTGCTTTTCTAATGGCACGAACCATTCACGCTCAGGTTCTTGTCAAGCTGAAAAAGTACGACGAAGCGGAAAGTATATTCTATACACTTGCCGACAAAGCTCCGTATAGTCGGCTTGCCGATGACGATGGTGACCATCCAGATCGACTTACAAACCTCTGGCTTCTTTTACGATGCCTGGAAGAGCAGGGTAAATATGAGGAGGAACTCCGTGTGGGTGAGGACTTCTTGCTTGGCTTATCAACTATTGGCGGCCAGGGCGCTGGTATGAAGCACCGAATTCTGCGGAAAGTGGAAAAGAAGATACCTGAACTGCGCGAGCAGCTCAAAGCAGCTACATGTGGTTCACCATAGCTCTTGCGAGATGTATCTCCTCGACAATTGGCTCCTTAATTGTACTCTGGCTGAGCGCGACCACAGATGTTACCGACAGCTGTTTCGGGCGAAAAGTGCATTTCCTTTCCTGTTGTATCACTCGAAGCGATCATCTCTTCTATTACGTTCAATTCTAGCTTAATCTCACCAGTTAATTACACGTTAAAGTCCTTGCCTTGCAAGAAAGTCTAATCCTAGTTATGACTACTGTGTTAAGCTCATTGTCCTAGCTTTACGCTTATTCTCCTGTTGATGACCCCCTTTTATCTTGTCTAAACTGTCTAGTAATTTCTTAGTTGCTTTAGCATTGTACCAGGAAGGAGTACATCAGTCACGAAGCCGTCAGCATTGAATGAAGTATTCATATTTCTTCTTGAACCTGAACCAAACATGTCCGCCACCGACCCCCCGCAAAACCACCATCCCATGTCCAAATCCCCCACCGTCAAGCAGCCAACCTCATTAAGAAGCCAGCCGCGACACATGAAAAAAAGAGATACCAGTAGACCCCATAATGACCAAGCCGCAGATGATGATCCTAACCCACATGCACGCCCGGATATTCGCCCATCGCCAATCATGCATCCCAGATAAAGACCTCCCTCCCACGTGTGAGAAGCCGAAGAGCCAAACAGCTGTCTTCAAAGTTGAAAAACTCCCAGATCATGCAAAAGCAAACGCCAAAGCAAGGCAAGATAGTACAGAACAAAGGAAAAAAACTCACACTCAGAAGAGAATGGACGCCGCAACCAAGACGTTGCTGGCCAATTTGTTCCTTGGAACTTGCGATGAAGATCGCTTGCAAACTTTTCGTATGTCGTACCGTGTCGCAAAATCTGCGGTTCGAGATATCGTTGATAGCACTTTTGAGTATGATCGAGACTGCTAGCACTTCTCTTCATGGAGGTTAGCTCACGCAACATCATCACAACAGCACTGCGTACCTGGTTTTCTTCAACCCCACCAAGAATGCCCATCAAGCAGCTTTCAGAGCCTGCGCGACCAAGACCGGAACCAAGATTGCAGTGACAAGGCCAACATTAACGACGATACCAGCAATGAGCGCCGTTCGCTTAGACTGTGGTGTGACGTGGCCCAGATGGCCTTTGGTAAGCTCGGCGATGACCTTGTCTCCTATGAAACGGAAGAGGATGATGCAGGGCGGCAGGAGACAGAAGGCCATTAGGATGCACCATGATAGCTTGTGGCGGCGTGCCTCGTCTTCTGGGTTGGGCTCCCGCTCTACGCATAGAAGGTGAGGCGAGTGTTGGTGCGCGATGTTGGTCCGGACCGGCGCAGGGTAGATGTCTAGGCTAGGGTGTGTGGGACGGAGAGGCGTGGTAGTGTCGCTGGTAGATGGACGATCACTGTGGGCCACGAAGCGCGTGATGTGCGTGTCTTGAGTCGAGATGGTCGATCGAGCAGCTTCAGGCGCGAGGAACATCTGACGCAGTTTCGTCTGACCGGGTACGGCAGAGCGGCTCGTGCGGCGTTGTTGACGCAGGAACGTGGTAGAGTTACGGAGGTGCTTGCGAGCGCCAGGGTTTGGAGAGGTCTCTTGAACAGTTTCCAGTTCTGGCGTCTGTGAGAATAGACTAGCTTCTGATGGTGTTCGATGCTCGGGACTCGGCTTGTAGACTGGTCGCGACTGGCTGATGCGAGTTACGCTGCCTGTAGCTGGGAAGGGCGAAGCGTAGAACCCGGTGTAGTCTGAACGAACGCTCTGGCGACCGACGCTTGAGCTGAGCTTCACACCAGGACTGCTAGTATCTGCGACACTGCTACCTGTCTCATGCATACCAGTACCACGAGGAGTACCAGTGAGGTTGCCCTTAGGCCCAACATAGGAGAGCTTCTCAAAGGTGTTCTGGCGCTCGAGACCAATAGGACTGTTGTCGAAAACGCTCTCATCAGCGGTACTTGAAGTCGGTAGAGTACTATCATCGCTTCTATACCGGTAATGTCCTTGTGACTGACCCACAGACGAAGCGCGCTGCTCATCGATAATGATGTTATCATTAGGGCCAGAAGCTAGCAGTTCTTGCGTCTCTTTGTCACTGAAGGCGTATGGGTCCGCCCAGGGAGCGTAAGCATATGGCTGGTCCACTGCGCCGCGTCCTCGAACTTCCTCAGCATTGGTAGCAAACTGGAACAATGGTGCTGTTCTTGATGCTGGAGGACTGGAAGCCAACGGAGGGGATGAAGTATCGGGTGCGGTACGAACACTTGGTTGAGCTCTCAACGGCGGTGGCGATGAACCACACAGGTGAGGGTGTTGAGTACGTGAAGGACTAGGGTGGTTGTAGTATGTTGAACGAGCCGGTGATTGAGCTAGCTTCGCCCAGGAAGGAAGGGAGCCATCTGAGTTTAGGCCAAGACTATTCCGGGTGCCCTCACTGCTGCTATAGTCTGCAATACTGCTAAGAAGAGACTCGTGACCTTTCGAATCGCGACTGTTGCCGCCGACCGTCTCCCAATCCGCTTTATCTCCGGTAATAGCTGCGTCGCCGCCACCAAGAGGTGTGTCGAACTCCTCGGGAACACCAGATGACCTGTTTGCGGCTGATTTACTTAGCATTAGGCTGGCCGAGTTGCGTCTAGCCCACATCGCGGGGATCTTACGGTCATCCTGATGCTTGTTGGCCGTGTCTTGGAAGATTTGTTCGGCCTGTTCGAGAGCCTCTCTAGGCGTATGCGGACTCTGCGGGTTGTCCGCTTGAGAGTAAGAAGACGAAGGCTCGAGGGTCCTGGCTTCTGGTTGAGAGTACGATGAAGATGGCTCCAGAGTGCCTTTCATAGCAGGCTGGATCGACACATCTGACTCCGAGATGCGGAGCAGGTTCCGAGTATCTCCGTATGAGTAGCGTGATTCATCAGAGAACATACCAGACATTGGTAGACGTGGAGGAAGGAAAGGTGCTTCATCGTACTCAAAGGCCGGTGCAAGAGGAGCCGCTTCACGAGGGGGTGAACCTGGGTGCTGGGTAATCGGAGGCCGCCTTGAACCTACACCAGTTTGTTGAACCCCCTTTCCTTTGCCTTCATAGTGAGTGGCTACGGGCGCATTTGCAGTATCATGCGGGCTATATTCATCGATGAGTTTGCTGATGGTGTCTGTCTTGGGATCACGTTCATCGACCGAAGGGTGGTACATGTCCTGCGCGAATGGACGTGACAGTCGCTGACTCATCCGATTAGAGTCGCCATAATCGTACGAGCTGTTAGGATTGTACTCGTTGGCAAAGTCGCTTGCGTTTATCCCACTAAGCCGAGCGAACGGGTTGCCACTGCTGTTCCGGTCGCTCTGGAGTCCCTGCTGATACATGGACTTTCGATGACCATCTGCGGTGTAGATGGACGAACTGGGGTAGATCGAATCAAGATCGTCGTAGTAGGGCTTCGAAAAGCCGCCTTCAGTAGAGTAAGGTAGATGAGACTCATCTAATCGTCCGATCTCCGTCGAGTGCTCATCCGGCAGCATGGATGCTAGCGAATCCGTCTGATAGTGTCCAGCGGATTGACCTCGCGATGCCTCCGCTTCATTCTGTCCGGGTGAAAAGGCTTGTGGGAACGCCGGTGTAAAGGCATGGAAGCCTTCAGGTGACAGGGGGCTGCTGGGCGTAGCTGGCGACATTGGTCCGACCGGGAAGTATGATGTTTCGGGGGTTGTGATATAGGTCTGGTGTAGAGGGCGCGGGAATTCTCCTTCCATGCTGATTGATGCCTTGCTTACGTTTTCGCTACGCATCTCCTGCAATTCCTCGCCCTGTAACGCCGAAGGAGTCTTGGTGAGCTTCTTCGTCAAAGTGCGAGTCAATCCTTTGAGGGAGAAACGCGACTCGCGAGCAGGCGGCTTGATGGTCAGCGGAGAGGGCGCACTGACTGATTCGGGGCTGTACGGAGGCGATGTATAAGACGAGGAGTTGGGACTGAGGGCAGCAGGTGACGGCTCAAGCGGAAGCTCCATGTGCGACTGCTCTGGCTCATCTTCAGGACGTCTCAGGATACCTGCATGCGCTGCGCGAAAATCGCCGTAAACGGCTCGTTTGGGCGCCATCTGTTGCGATCAGCTGTGCTGAGAACGGAGTTGGGTTGTAATACATACCTCTGAAAATGCGTCGTCAGATGAACGTAGAAGAAGATATTCACTAGAATCGAAGTCACGCGAGGGCGTAACAATATCGTGAAGCAGTAGCGAATCGTGCGGGTTAACCAAGTCAAAGGAAGCACCGCGATAATGGATAATTGCGGGCGTCGCGGGCGGCGTCGCAGGCGCGATTGTCGCGAAGCTAGGTGCGTCTATTCGCGTCGGCTCTCTTTCATCGTGGGGTGGTGAGAGCGACGGGTCGATCCGGTGGGGCGGCTGCGGGAAGCGGGATAGCGAGAAGGTCGAGAGTGTGGGCGTGGTCTGCGCGCCGCTGGAGTGTGAAAGATCGGTGGAGAAGCTCAACACAGCAGGACGCGGTGATTGGCGGTCTTGCGTAGATTTCACGTTTGCAAGCGGAAGAGCAAATACAGGACCTGTAGTGGCAGGCGGTTTCGGCAACCTTTTTCTTGACTTGAACTGACGTACCTTGCTAGACGAGTTGCCAGTAGAGATACTGGATATACTGCCCGTCTGCACGCGGGGCTCAGCTGACTGCGATTGAAGCGATAGCTCGAGCAGTGTTGGTTGCTGGGGCGGCGGAGCAATCGAGTTGAGTTGGTATGCCGACTGCGAAAAGTGAAGAGGGCGCAGTGGTGGACCAGAGTCTGACCGCGTCGAGTGCGATACCGATGGTGCGCGTTCGATATCGTTCAAGGCAAGTGCCGCAGGTTTCCTCCGAAGAGTCTTGCCTGACGGTGTACCTGTTCGCGATAGCGTAGGCGTATGTTGCTGCTTGCGATACTCGTGGATGGTGAGGACGTGGATGGGAGTCCGGGAGGAGGCAGACGAGGTAACTGAGTGGTGTGGGGAGTGGACGGGCGTCATAGGATTG